AAAAAAAAAGAGAAAATAAACTAAAAAAAAACACTGAAAGTTTACATTTTATAATAACATTATTATACAGATTGTATTTAAACGTCAGAATATTTAAGACAATTGTAACCCTGTAAAGTGAAGAAATATTAAAAAAAAAAAAAAAAGTTGTGTTGTTTTGGGTTTTTGATACTGGGTGTTGGGGGGGAGGGGGGATTTCAGGGGTGCCCCACAGGACTGTGGGGTGTCCATAGGATTTCCTTATGGATTTGGGGTATCCCTATGGGACTGTGGGGTGTCAATGAGTTTATGGGCTGACCATAGGATTATGGGGAGTCCATGGGTTCCCTGTAGGGCTGTGGGCAGTCCATGGGATTGAGGGGTGTCCAGGGCTGTAGAGTGCTCATGGGGTTCCCTCGAAGCTATGGGGCCCATAGATTTGTAGGATATCCATGGTGTCCCTGTAGGGCTGTGAGGTGTCTATAGTATTTGGGGGTAGCCAAGGGCACCCTTAGGGTTGTGAGATCTTCATAGGATTCCCACAAAGCTCTGGGGTGTCCACAGGGTCCTGAAAGGACCGTGGGGTCTCCACAGGATTATGGGGTGCCCACAAGGCTGCGGGGTATCCATGGGGTCCCCATGTACCCACGCGCTGTCCCGGGTCACCCATCCAGCGCCGACCGGGGCGGGCCCTGCTGAGCTTCCTGCCGCGTGCGCAGCTCCCGCCCCGCGCGGCCGCGGCGGCGCCGCCGCTGATTGGTCAGCGCCGGGCGGGGAGGCGGCGCTCTGGGCCGCGGCCGCGCTCTCTGTGGCCCTGGCGGACCGCGAAGATGGCGGCGCCCATGGAGGTGGCGCTGGTGTCGGACGCGGCGGGGCCGCTCTGTAACTGCTCGGTCTGGGAGCTGCACTCGGGCTCGGCCCTGCCCGGCTACCGCGGCGGCAACAGCGGCCCCCGCGGGCTGGCGCTGCTGGGCGGCGAGCACCTTCTGGGGGCCCAGCTCGGCAAGAGCTACATCAACGTCTGGGAGCTCCAGAGGAAGGTACCGGCGCGGCGGGCGGGCCCGGGCGGTTTCGGCTCCGGGGACGTCCCCGGGTCTGGCGAGGGGGACTCGGGGCTCCGTGGGGATGGGACGGGGCTCTCCTCCGTGCTGAGCCCCGGCGCTGTGATGAGGGGTGGTCCCACCATCCTCAGAGCCCCGCCAAAGGCATGGTCAGACCCCGCCATGGCCCCTCTCTCCTCAAAGACCTCTCATGACCCTGCTCGTCATGGAGACTCCTTTCTGTTTTCAGACACCCCCTCATGGCCCAGCTCTCACCAGAGACCCCCCTCTCTCCATTGAGGCCCCCCCTGTTCCTGGTTAGACCCTCCAGATCCCCCTTTCCTCCATTCCGACCCCCATCTCCTCGGGCAATTTTTGGAGAGACCCCCCGGTGATGCCTCTGCTCTCCCATATCGGGGGGCCCTGCCTGCAGCCCCTTTCGTTCTCTGAGCCCTCGCTGTGCTCTCTCTCTGCCCCAGGACCAGCTGCAGCAGAAGATCATCTGCCCCGGGCCTGTGACCTGCCTGACGGCCTCTCCCAACGGGCTCTACATCCTGGCGGGGGTCGCCGAGAGCATCTACCTGTGGGAGGTACGGGGGACTGGGGAGCTTGGGACCCCTCAGATTCACACCCTGGGATCTCAGGGAGTGTCCCCAACCTGCAGATGTCCATAAATCCTGATTGTGAGGTGCCACAGTGGGCAAAGGTTGTGCTGCTCTGCAGCCTGTGGAACAGCTCATCAAAGCAGGAGTGGGAGAGATTCTGGGAGAGGCTTCACTCTGCCTCCTTCTCCTCTTTCCACGCATCTCTGATGCTTCAGGAGTCAGGCATTCCTCCCTCAGGCAGCAACACAGGACCTGATTTTCCTTCAGCACTGCTCCCCCATTTCAGCTGCGTGTTTGTGTGTGCCCAGGGTGCCAGCAGACCCCGCTCTGTGCTCTGATCATTGTCCTGCTGGTTAATTACCACGGGATTACTCTGGATTACACTGCATTCCCAGCACACCACCGAGCAAATCAAAGCAGCAGCTTGTCCTGAGCCTGGGATTAAACCCCAGGATGCCTCACCTGGAGATCTCCCTGTGCCAGGGGAGGTTTGAGCCTCATGGTGTGGGTGGYTCTGCCTGAATTCATCAGGGTTTGCTTGTACCAGTGTGCTTGTGGCAGCTCTGGAATGAAATTCCTGAAAGGCTGAGCTCCGAGCAGGGCCCTACCCCAGCTCCCTTCACCCACAGAGGTGTCCCAGGGTGTGGCACTGTCCCTCTGGCACATTGGAGTGGCTCCATGGAAACCATCATGAAGCTGGAACCAGCCCCCAGAGCCCTGGATTTGTGCTGTCTGTCAAAACCCTCGAATTGAGGCTTGGTTTGATTTTTGGGTGTAATTCACACAACGGAAGGAAGTCAACTGTTATTTTTCTGGAGGTTTTTTCGCTACTTTGTTCCCTCCCCWTCTGCAAGTGTTGCCTTTTAACAAGGAATTCTCTGAGTTTGGGAAACGACTAAAACCTCTGGTGGCCCAGGACCATGAGCCACTCTTTGTGTGTCCTGTAACTCTCCTAACCCCACTGCCACCTCCTGAGATCCTGTGGCAGGAGGGAAGAAGCTGCCAAAGTGATCTGAATATTAAGAGTGAACAGGAAATCTTTACTGCACGCTCGTGTCTTGACCAGGGGAATGGCTCAGGCATCACTGAGATCCCAAATTAATGTGCTGGGATCTCTCCCACTGCSATGTTCTGAGTTTTCCCTGCAGTCCTGAGGCTCCTTTGGGCACTAGAACCCACTTTTCTTCTTCCACACTATCCCAGGATGTCCTTGACACCCTCCTGCCCTTCCCCTCTCTCCAGGTGTCCAATGGGAACCTCCTGGCCATCCTGAACAGACACTACCAGGACCTCACGTGCCTCTGCTTCACCGACGACAGCAGCCACTTCCTCTCGGGGGCCAAGGACTGCTTGGCCCTGGTGTGGAACCTCTACAAGTAAGGGGTGCTGGGGGGGTCAGGGAGTGTCAGGACAGGGATTTTGGAGCAGTTCCCTGTGTCCTGGAGGTGGGACCAGCTCTGGCTGAGCCCACAGCTGGGTCTGTGCCCTCCTCATGGGCAGAGAGCTTTTTTTGGGAATGGGCACGTGGCTCTGATTTCTTTTCCTGTRTGACACAGAGTGGATTGTGCCCTTTCCTGATGGTCTGTGTCCCTTTGGGATGGGGAGCTCAGCCCCTCAGCTTTGACATCCAAGCTCCTGTGTCCTGCTTGGTCCCTGCAGCCAGGAAAGCAGCCAGGAGAGGTGTTCCCAGCCTGGCTGTGTCCTGACTGACCCTGCTCTCCCCACAGCGTTCTGCAGGCAGAGCCCTCCCAGATCCCTGACCCCCGGCACGTCTGGTCCCGCCACAGCCTCCCCATCACCGACCTGTGCTGCGGCTTTGGAGGGCCCCTGGCACGGGCTGCCACCGCCTCCCTGGACCAGACAGCCAAGGTGAGGCTCATTTCAGCWGTGCCAGACCCTGCGGGGTCACAGCCAGGCTCCTGCCAAGCAGCAGGAAGCTGTCCCTGTCCCCAAGCTGGCCCCAAGCTTTTCCCAGGTTGCAGTGGCTGAATTTCTTGTCTGTCTCTGCAGTGACTCAGAGCTGCCAGAGCTGGGCTCTGCCTCTCCAACACCAGCAGTTTCTCTGCACCTGCCCCCAGGCTGGACTGCTGCAGTCCCTGTTGTCCTGGGAATGTCGGGGTCAGCTCCTCTGATTCCCACTGCTGATGTCCACAGGGAGCAGAGCAGGCTGGAGCCCGTGGGAATGGGGATGCCCCGGGGGCAGGATGGCCACAGAGAGGGTTCAGAGCTCTTTTGAAGCTGCCTGGGAAACTTCTCTCCACATCAGAGAGGCTGATCCTGGGTTCTGCTTTGGTTTTGCCTTGGATTCAGTTTCCCAGCCATCGCCAGGAGGGAATGCCAGGATATCAGTGTTCCTCCAATCCTGCCATTAACATTCTCCTGTCCCCTGTCRCTCCAGCTCTGGGAAATCTCCTCTGGAGACCTCCTTCTTTCCGTGCTGTTCGACGTGGGGATCATGGCTGTGACTCTGGACCTCTCTGAGTACCACATGTTCTGCGGGGGCATGGATGGCTCCATCTTCCAGGTGGACCTCTGTGCCTGGGTGAGTGTGTGGGGTCACAGATGTGTCCTGTGACCCCGAGCCACTGTCACCTTCCTCCTGGGACTGGTGTGACCTGCCAGGGCACAGGAGGGCCTGGTTCCCCTGTGTCTCCCCTGCCCCCTCCACACACYGTGATGAACCTGCTGGATTCAGCCTTCCTGAATTTTAACACCTTTCCCTTTCTTCCCTCCTTCCTTCATTTCTCAGCCGGTTCAGAGAGACCGGACCTTCCAGACAGAGCGGGAGAACGGGAAGGTCTTCAAAGGGCACAGGTGAGGAACCAGACACACCTGCCACCACCACAATCTGCCCCCATCTGCCCACCTCCTGGCACTCCTGGGGTCACCCTGAGTTTAAACATCCTCTTCCCCATTCCAGGAACCAGGTGACGTGTCTGTCAGTCTCCACAGACGGCAGCCTCCTGCTCTCGGGCTCCCACGACGAAACCGTCCGGCTGTGGGACATCCAGAGCAAGCAGTGCCTGAAGACGATGAATCACAAAGGTAGGAATGTCCTTATCTCGGGGATCCTCACTGCCAGAGGCTGCTGCTGTCTCACCTGTGGTGCCCTGAGCGCTCCCAGGCGTGTTTGTGCCCCTCACCTCACACCCTGGGAAGGGCAGAGGCGTTGGAGGGAGCCTGGGCTGTCTCTATCAGTGCTGTGACCTTGCCYGTGTGTCAACAACCCCCTGTGCACTGTCGGTGTGAGTCACTGATTTCACCCTGTCACTGAGGCYACRCAGGATCCTCCTCCTCGTTTTCCCRAGGGAGCAGTCACCCCACATACCCCGCAGCTGTGTCTGGAGGGGAGACAGCTCTGTGACCCRGCAGTGAGCTCACGGGGCCTGCAGTGAATCCCATATGAGCAGCCGTCTGGGATTTCGGTCTGATGGCTCCAGTAAACTGCAGGAGCAGCATTTGAGTGCCTCAAAACAATGGGGGATTTACCCCTCCTGCTGCTCACTGGGCTCCTCCTGTAGTTTTGGTGTTCCCCGGTGCCGCACTGGGATCTCAGGGGGTGTCCCCATCCCACAGATGTGCATAAATCCTGATTGTGAGGTGCCACAGTGGGCAAAGGTTGTGCTGCCTGCAGTCTCTGGAGCAGCTCATCAAAGCAGGAGTGGGAGAGATTCTGGGAGAGGCTTCACTCTGCCTCCTTCTCCTCTTTCTGGCCAGTGGGGCTGTGCTGCAGCTCTTGGACATGGCCCAAACCCCTCCCGAAGGTGATGGCGGGGTAAGCCTGACCTGTTCCTCCGTGGGGGCTGAGCTGCTGCCTCAGGGCAGTCTCTGGAAGCCAGGCTGCCTGCAGACCCTTTTCCTCTTCCCTTTGGCTGCYGAGGACCGTCCCTAATTGGGACCCACTGCAGTGCCCATCCAGCCTGGCGCCGCTGGCACCAGAGGGTGAAAACAGACCGAATGGAGCTGTGAGTCATCCGAGGAGGGGGGGCCGGGCTTTGGCTGCCAGCCGGGCCTTGGAGCCCTCCCGAGGCTGCAGCAGAGAGTGGACAGAGCAGGCTCTTCCCRGGAGGGGTAGAACTGAGCTGACCCCGAGCTGGGGGTGCTCTGCTGGCAGGGATTTGGTTTYCCTGGCAGCCCTGGCACCACCCCGCTGCACTGGTGAACCCGGGACTGGGCTGGGTGCCCGACCTCCCCCAGGTCTGTGGAGTCCCCACAGACCCCCACACCCTCCCAGTGTGGAGGTTCTGCTGCCCCAGCCTGGCCCCCTCTCTGTGGGGCAGTGCTGGAGTCCACGGGTCCATGTCCCCCCTTGTATTCTGAGCAGTGTCAGGAGCCCCCCAGCAAGGTCTGTCCCTGCTGCCCCCCCAGCACGTCCCGCTCTGTCCCCAAGGCAGAGGTGACAGGGGCTCTGCCGTGGTGACGTGACAGCAGCCACTGGCCCGGTGTCCTGGGGACACTCTGCTCGCTGGGGGCACGCAGGACCCGCTGCCCTCCCCTCAGTGCTGCTGCAAATTAATCCAAGGAGCTGGAGYGTGGCTCAGGGCCAGGCAGCCATGGGGGGGCTGTGTCACCAAGGGTGGCTTGTCCTTGGTGGGGGCAGAGCGGGTGGACTTTGAGAAGCCACTCTGCTCCTGGGTAATGATCTGTGGCRRTGCTGGCAAGGCAGGGTCACCCCACGTGGTTGGCACCGCTCTGGGGACAAGCAGGAGACCTGGGGGGCCCCCAGATGCCTCCAGTCCTCAATCCCCACGGTGCCACACGAGCTCCATCCATCTTTGTGTCTGCAAACACAGCGTGGCACAGGCCATCCCCGAGGGCTCTGTCCTGCAGAGCCACCCTGAGACACTCTGGCTGATCCGTGCTGCTGGCGGCTGTGTGACAGAAGCTGGGTTATTTATTTGTCTCACCCCAGCTAAGCCCAGTCCCCATGGCCAGGCTGGCCCAGGGTCACCCACCTCCCACTGCCCCAGGCCTCAGGGCAGSGTGGTTTCATGCAGGACTTGCATCAGCACTGGGGCCCCAGAGTGATTGTAGGGGCTCTGAGTTGTGAGCAGATTTGGGGAACCCTGGGGAGCCTTCACTCCTGAGATTTTCTTTTCTCCACCTTTCCTGTCCCTTCCTCTCAAACTGCTCTGTGAGCTGCCAGTGCAGGGAATCTCACTGATGGGCACTTGCCTCAGGAGCACAAATGATCCTTTAAAGAGAGAGTGAAACCATCAGGAACAGCTTTGAGGCCAGGAATTCAGCCTCTGCTCTGCTGGTGGGACCCAGCCTTGGGTCCTGAGAATTTCAGGTTTAGGACCAGGCTCCAGATAATGGTGACAGAGCACTCGTCCACATCAGAGCTGCTTGTGTCCATCTGCTCCAGCAGCCCCTTCAGGCCCTTTAGAACCCCCTCCCTCACCCCATACCCTTCTCCCCAGCACTGGCACCCCCTCCTCAGGTGCATCTGGACCCTCCTCACCTTTCCTTTGGCCAGGAGAGATGGATGTTTGGGCTGTACCAGCGATGGCCGAGCTGCTATGCGCTCTGGAGCGGGGCTGGGGGGCTGCTGTGCCTGACAGGGCGTGGGGGGCAGCGGGAGGAGTTCCCAGCGAGCAGGAGCTGGGAGGGGGCGGCAGCAGCCGTGGGTGAGTGCGGTAATTAACGCGCTCATCAGCTCTGCCATTGAGAGCGGCTGATGGATGGTGGCAGCGCCGAGCTGCTGATGGATGGTGGTGCAGGGCGGGGGGAGGCCGGGCTGCTGCTTCCTCCCGTTCCCCCGGGGGTGCCAACCAGCCCAAAGAGCCGCAACCCCGAGCAGAAGGAGCAGAGGAGGAGGAGGAGAGTCCTGGCCACTGCCTGCCCCAGGGTCGGACTCGCCCCGAAGGGTCCCCGCCAGGCTCCAGCCTGACCCGTCCCCTCTGTCCCGTGCCAGGTCCAGTGACAAACGCCTTCATCGTGCTGGCCCCAGCCAACATGTTCAACCCCGACGGGAAGCCCAGCGTGCCCCTGCCCAAGTTCAGCAGACACCTGCACGGCACCGAGAGCAGCGACGAGCCGGGCACCGAGGGGGTGACGCTGCGCCTGGGGCTGCACCAGCAGGTACYGGGGCGAGGGGGACATGCATGGAGGAAGGGTTGTGCCGGAGCAAAGCTTCTCCTCCAGCTGGTGAAACCCGTTCCTGCTCCCTCCTGCTTCCTGCCCATCCTGCTGCTGCAGTCATTTGTCCTCCCAGCCCCGTGCTGCAGCGTGGGCTGGCGCTGCTGTCCCACCGCTTTCTCGGGCCCAGTGTGGCCATCCCCAGGCAGGGAGGGTCCCTCACCATCAGTGTCCCATCCATCCTGACCTCTCTGCCAGTGGTGCCAGAGCTGCTCCCCTCTGCCAGCGTCTCTCTGGGCAAGTGACAGTGACAGTCCTGCCATGGCTGATGGATGAGCTCCCTGTTGGGGTGGTGGCAGCAGGCCAAGGGACTGTTTGCCTGGCAGAGAGGACAGGATCACCCTGAGTGTGTCCCACAGGGAACCCAGTCCAGGGGCATGGGGGGGAGTGTCCATGTCTGCTGTGCCAACCCCTCTGTTCTGGTCCCTGCAGGAGCCTGGGCAGAGCTACCTGGAGAAGGCAGAGAGGATGTACTCACAGATGTACTCGACGAGGGAAAAGGTGAGAGCTGCTCCCAGGCTGGGAATCGGGTACAGACTGGGGGGATCCTTGTCAGCTGATCTGACTCATGGGGCCCAGAGTGAGTTAGGAACRGGAAAAAAAAAGAGCCCTGGAATCTGCTGGTGATGAGGGCAGGAGSGGCTGAGGTTTGAGGAGGAGGAGGGACAGGGCTGAAGAGTTTGGGTTTTATTTCTGGGGGGAGAGCAGCAGCCCGTGCCTGCCAGAGCTGAGGCCCTGACACTTTTCTGTCGTGTTTTCCTGTCGCAGAACCTGGTGGGAGACCAGGAGCACCTGACGATCCAGGTGAGCGAGCTGGAGGAGGAGGTGAGCAACCTCCGCAAAATCAACAAGGACCTCTTTGACTTCTCCACTCGCATCATCACCAAACCAGCCAAGTGAAGAGGCTCCCCCGCCCTCGCACCCCTCCGCCTCTCCCTGTCCGGCTCCTGGGGAAGAACCTGCCCGAGCCCAGCCGGCTGCGAGCACCCGGCTCAGCTCCCCCCGACCAGGCACACGCTGCCTGCTCCGTGACACGGGACTGTCACCTGCACGGGGGCAGCGAGGGGACAGCACAGGGACCGTGTTCACCCCAACTCGGGGTCGGGGGGCACTCGGGGGGCACTCGGGGGCACCGGGGCGGCCGCTGCAGGAGGAGCGTCGCCGGCTCCTGGGAGGGCTCAGGATGCAGCTCCTGCTCACTCCCCGTCTCTCCCCCTGTCCCTTTTTTTGTTTCTTTTCGTTACTTGACCCTGCAGTGCAGACAGAAAAGTGGTTTTTCTCTCCATACCGGTTTGAGATTGGGTTTTGGAGACCCCCATTCCACCCACCCTGTCGTGGGGATTGCTGCTCAGTGCCACCGGACCCCGTGCTTGGGACAGCAGGGGCTGAGTGGCTCCTGCTCCGGGGGTGCAGTGCTRCGACAGGTGGGGGGTCCGTGGCTACCAGGGCTGAGGATGGGGCTACTGCTCCATCCGGTGGGCAGCGCCGGGGATGTCCTGGGCTTGGAGCACAGGTGGTGGTTTTGGGGCGCAGGGTCACTCTGGGGAGGGGCGGGGGGGGCCAGCAAGGTGCTATTTCCAATCTCGTCAGTCARCAGTTTATATATATTTGGATCCGACGACTCTGTTTTCACGGTGTTTGGGGACTCGGCCTTTTGTATTGTCACAGCATGGCAGCGGGGGTTGTGGGTTTTGTTTAGGTTTATTTTTTACATAAAAGATTTGTTTTTTATAGTGAAAGCTGCTCAYGTTGGTTTCTTTAACACCCCTTGCACGGCCACAGACCTTGACTGCCCATCACTGCATCCCTGGGGCTGCCCACTGGGAGTGGGGAAAGTGCTTCCTTACCCCCAAACTGCTCAGTCACTTTCACCCCGTGGGTCCCTCGCTGTCCCTACGGGGTGCCAAGGTGTCCCCATGCCGTCCCTCTGTGTCCCCCCACCCTGTTCAGTACACCAAGTGCAGATGATTTTAAGTGCACTGTAAAACCGGAGCGTCCGTGTGGCCCCGGCTCCCGCCAGTTACCGAGAAAATGCTTTTAGCTTAATCACCAGAGTCCTGTTCCTCTCCCTTGCTCTCCTGCTCCTCCTCTTCCTCCCAACGCTTTGGATTGGATCAACATTCATCGGCTGCAGCAGGGACTGTCGCCCAGAGCTGGGGGAAGAGATGGGAGCACGTCCCTGCTGCAGAGACCCCCAGGATGCAGCCCCCCAGCCCCTCCTCAGTCATCCCACACTTTCCCAGTCCCCCCAATGGGGTTCCTGTCGGGRTGCTGCATTTGGGTAGAGCAGAAGGGAAGATGGGGCTTCCCCCGCTGTGCTGTGCCTGGTGTTTCTGGGGTATTTAACTCCAAAATCCTGTTGTCCCTCCTGCCTGGATGGTGAGTGCTGTGCTGTGTTTATCCCTACRAGAAGGAGGTGTCCCCATGGTCAGGGTCCTGATCAGGGGGAGATCAGCACCCCCTGACCCTCGGTGCTCTGTCGGGATTTGCGCTGCCCTCCCTGCGGGCCCGGCTCCGCAGGGGAATTCATTAGCTGTGACTCATTACATTTATCGATATTACACCAATCGATACTTTTTGCCAGACGGTTTTTGGCTCCATCCTTCACTTTTGCTTATTAATTTAGTGTGGTTCCAGCCCCAATTGCTGCTGTTTGTGTGCCGATGGCGGGGCCCCTTGGGCTGGGACGAGCCTCAGTTTCCCTGGTGAGGATGAGGAGGGTGAGCCCSCGTCTCTCCCTCCCTCAGCAGATGAAGGCTGCGCCGCTGCTTCGTCCCTTCCCCACAAAGCAGGAGGAATCGCTTGGCCCCGGAGCTGCCCGGCTCCGGGACCCCCTGAATTTGGGGCTGCAACTCAGATTGTGGGGGGGGACAGAAGGATCGTGCTGGGGGCTTTTATCGGAACGGAGGCGGCAGCTCACGGCTCTGGGACCGACCCGAGGCAGGAGGAGGAGAATGAGGAGGAGGAGGAAGAGGAGGAGGAAGGTCCCAGTGGTCCAGAGACAGCCGGGACCACCCTGGGAAAGGCGCGGGTCCCTTCTCCGGGGGTCCCCACGGTCCCAGCCCTCGGACGGCAGCACCGCGCGGGTGGGGGCACCCTTTGCTGCGGGGTGCGGGGAGGGGGGGACCCGCGTCGTGCGTGGGCGTGGACGGGGCGGCTGCGGGCGGGTCCGGCGCTGCGTGGGCCGGGTCCGGCGTGACCC